CAGCAGGAAATGAAACAGGAAAAATACTATCAAATGCCTTTTTTTTTTGGAGAAAGTAAGTCTGACAATTTAAGAGAAACAAATTAATGCAAGAGCAACTTTCTCTTCTTGGTGGTGGTCCCCTCTGAATTGCAAGCTGAATTACTGTTCTCCAAGACTGCAGCAGGAGCCAAGCTGCCAAAGAAAAATGTCTTCTCTTCTTTCCTCCAATAAATATGCTGAGCAATCCATGCTGCTCTGCATCTTAGGCAAGTTTTATTTGAAAAAAAATTATGTACTTTGAAAAAATCTTCTCCAAATCTACAGGTATTCAGATTAATACCTGATGAAGACAAGGGTGCAAATAATAACTGATTCACAATCAAACAAGCATGATTTAAGGCACCATTTCCTTTCCATACAGCTGCACTAGTGGTCTCCCGGCAAACTGTTCTGCACTACAGAATACAGAGTGAAAAAATGGTAGGTAGACCTAACTTAGGTAGGTTTTCAGGACAAAAATCAAACTTATTCCCCCAACTTTTTTTTTTTTAATCACCCCTTTCAGAAGTGTATCAATTCACTCCTCTACCTTGATTACATATCACAAAACAAAACAGGGATATTACAACACCCTGCAAGACAAATAGTAGAAGGCAAATATGTTTTTGACAACAAGAGTCTTAGAATCAACAGAAGATATAACTTTTGATAATTTTATAAAATAGATGTAAGCACATGTTTAGATTGAGCTAATCTCAGAGCTGATAACTAACAGGAATTCATTAATCTATTTAGATCAATCCAATTAGAAAAACATGCAAACTGCTATTAAGAGGATTGGAAGCACCCTTGAATGGAGTTACCTCTGTTCTGGACTGCTGTTAGCAGGCTGCAGAGCTGAAGGAGCCTCTTGTGCAACCTCTGCATTCTCTTCTACAACATATTTACAAGAAGCATCCTGTGAGGTAGACAGTTTTCCTTCCTCACTTAAAAAAAAAAGGAAACAATTTATTTAATTAAGTTTACTTACAGGGAAATTTCAGGCAACAGGAGAAAACTGGGAGACGGGTCCATATTTCACATGCAGATGGATTTTAAGTTATGATTGCAACATGAAGATCAAGCACACGGTTCTAGACTTTATGAACACCGAATAATGCACCGGTGTTTATGTCCATTAAAACTTGACTGGATAAAAGGGCAGGAAATGTAGTGATTAGAAATAAGATCAGGAAGGAAATAAGGAACGTGTGTGATGCCTGACGTGGTAACAATCACAGTCATGATCCTTGACTATACATACCGATAGGATTTCAACACTCTGAAGCCCAAAGTATGCAAAAATGGAAGGAAGAAAGTATAAAAGAAATTCAAGATTCCATCAGAAACTGGCATTAAAGTCTGTCCATGAAACATATCAGTAAAATCATTAACTCGTTGCCATCTTTATTAAACCCCCTAATAACTCCACAATGAAGTGCGATGGATGGGTTATATGGTACTAGGAGTGCAGCCCAATCTAGTTAATGAACTTCCTCTCAAAGAGAAAACCAGAAACAGTTCAGTGAAAAAGTACACTCACTCTGTATAAGACATCACCATGTAACTAGCCACCCTCAAAAATTATTAGCAAACAAGTACTAGTGTTTTGCCTCTAAATCAAAGCTTTTCTCCCTCTCTCTTCCACTGTCTCCCACCTCAGCCACACAATTATGAGTGCACTAAAATACAAATTTGACCATATACCTGCAAGAGACAGTTATAAGGTAGCTCTGAAGCAAACACAAACATCAATCTTATACCTCTGTGGCAACAAATCTATTTCTGCAAGAAGTTAAGAACATTTTAAAGTCTCTCCCCTCTGTTGATTTTTCTTCCTATTCTTACAGTTCTCCTTTCAATAGATCCTTTTAATTTCAATGAATCCTCCTCCTTCCTCCCATATCTGCAGAGCCTGTAAAATTACTGGCTTTGCATTGCAATCTCTCATCAGGATCCAGTTTTCCCTGTCTGACATTTGTCATTTGTCTTGACACTTTGTTCAAAATAAAATACTTGTCACCATCAGAACTGGTCTTTCTTATTTTATTTTTTAAAAAGGGATAGTCTCTGCTATGAAGTCTCTCTGCTTCTGATTCTCCATTTGGAACTAAGTTTGGAAACCACATTGTCATTTGTAGCTTTCCACAAATTAACTACTGTGCTCATGACGCTCCTTCTCCTCTCAGCATAGGCAGGAACCTATACAAACAGGTCTGGAAGCATCTACTTTGCCAGGTACACAGGCCAGAGTAGGACCTCATCTAGCTACTCTAACTGTCACTTTAAATTCAGACTTTTTTTCTCCCCAGCACTGTTTTAGATATTTATTCCTAAGGAAAGTCTACTTTTCTCTTCCATTTGTTTTTTCAATGTATTTAAAAGCTGGTTTAGAGAAAGCCATGTGAGCATTGCCTCAGTATGAGGCCAGAAACCTCTATCAGCCTAGAGTGGTCTGCATATTTCAGCCTCCTCCTACATTTCCTTAATCTCCCCTTTTTAAATCAAGATCCCAGAGCCCTCTTTGCTAGAGGCTTGAAAGATGTGATTGGACAGAGTGCTAGATAATCTCATCTGGGCTGCCTTCTGCCCAGGTGATTCTATGACATTGCCTCTCTTTGTACCTCTGTGTCCTTCTAACAACAAAAATGGAAGTGCTTGCTCTATAGCTCAAGGAGGTGATTCTGTGAAGGCAGGCAGGAACTGCCACCACGTGCTGCTTCCTCATGGTAGTTTTTGCACCAATAGCAGGTATCACAGAACTTTAAAGTGCGTGGGAACTAAAGCAGTTTAAGGAGAAGTGTAAAATCACCATGGGTAATTAAATCCAACTGTAAACATCTAACACAATAGGAGTGCAGACCATACAAAAGTGTTCCCCAAAATACAGAATGAAGTGGAGAGCAGATCCAGCATTTACTGAGTCAGCAAGGTGCCACATCACCATGTGGTTCCATGCCACATCAGTCTGCACTGACTCAAAATCCTCCTCTAAACTGCTTTCATTCAATTCCTCTAACAATGCCCTTTGATTTATAAGCACTGTGCAGCCAGAGATGCTCCGTCCTCCGTATTAAAGAATATCAGAGGTTAAGTCAGGTGCCTAAAGAGATTAGAGTTTATTGCTTTGCTCATCAAAAGGATGGAAGCAAGAGTGACTGAAAGCTGTTATGTTTCCATTCCTGAACCATCTAAAATGAACAGCACTTATTTACTACCACATCGGACAAAGTAAATGAATTTAAAAGAAGGGACATGTATGGACTAACACTGGAAAGTTTTTTCTACTGAAATAGACTGGGATCTTTAAGCCACTTCAAGGACATATGGACAATTTATTTTCAATATTTAAAGCTAGAATAGGGACTGATTCTAGGAAATTATTCTAAAAGAATGAGAAGAGGGTTGCATGCCAAAATGCTAGTAGTATGTTCTGATTTGTCAAGATCGGGGGGTGGGGTGGTGGTGGGGGGAGCACGACAAACCAGCTTCATTTAAAAAAGGTAAAATAATTTTTGCAGGTCAGCCTGTTTGTAGCCTCTCCTACATAAAGATTTGATAACTAAGTATTTTGATCATTAAATCTAAGATCACAAGATCTTAGTAGATGAGATCTCAAGTAGGCAAAATGGAAACGTGCTTTATTCCCACAAAAGCATCACAAATGTTGATAGGTGTAATATGGAATATAACCATATTGTATGACTGTTATTCCTGAATCAAACACTTTGTATCAGAAAATACCAAAAATAAGGAGTTTGTTCTTCCAGTAATTCAAGAAGTCTATGTGCCACCTATAGTCCAGAACAGATTTAAGAAGAACTCTTTTTGATGACACAGTGTTCTATCAACAGTGCTTGTTTCACACAGGTCGCAAGACAATAAACAGGTACTCTCACCTTTTGAAAACAGCTGTTTCAGTTTTAGCATCTACAGTAAGGCTCAGTGTCTCCTTCATGCTGCCATTCATGACTGTTTCAGTTACCTTGTCTGCATTTTCTACATCATCCTCTCCATCTGAGCTGGCCTCCATAGCAACACTTCCTGGGGCTAGATATATAGAAGTAATTTAGTACATGGCTGGTTATGTTTCTACTTCATGAGCAAGCATACAAGCCAATATAACCAGAATGATATTTTTGCAGTTACTCTACATACACTTGAATTCTTCCTTACAAAAGTCACCTTTCTGCAACCCCCTCATACACATAGATAGAGAATAAGTACGCACTTACAAATGGCTTAAGGAAAAGTCACATTCCGTAACCACTTTTTGTTTTTTCATTTTGCAAGCCATTTAGTGATTTAGATCAACAATGGTTACCACAACAGGTTTGCCTGAGTAAGACTTCAGTAGGGTTAAAGTGATTTGTTACTCTTCCATACAGTCAGACTCATTACACAAGCCCACACAGTACAAATTTGACAGCGAGTTTCCACGTACAAACAAGCCTTTGGGATGTGCAGTCTCCCCAGACTTCTCTGTACTTCTTTTTCTGTCTGTTAGCAATATATACAAAAAGGTAACTAGCACATATTTGGCCTTTAACCAGTTCATACACATAGAGGAAAGAATTAGTGCATGCATAGTGAAAGTAACTTGGA